TTGAGGTTATGGAAACTATATAATACCACACAAAATACGCTTGAATTGACCTAAAAACACCTTTTTTGCAGCAGTTTCTTACTTATGTAAATGTTATTCATTCCTCTTATGCAATTTCCCGGCTCAAGCAGGTGCTTTATGCGCTTTTGTTGCAATTAAGAAGCCACAAAAGAGGCGAAACAATTACGGGAATACACGTATTTGTGATTAATTCCGCTGAATTCACACCTGAAAGGTGACTCAGGTGCAATTAGCACAATGTTAGGCACTCCCACGAGATTCTGGGCACGAGAATCACGTCAATTGTGTGTTTCGGCGCGTCTGAGAAATTGGGCAGAAAAACAGTCTTGTTCAAATAGAGACTCAAGTTTTGTTTGCCCGAGTGATTTCTCTCAGTGTCACAAGCTTTAAAGCTCCATTCAACTGAATGGGAGAAAAACAACTCTTGTGAGGATTTTCCAAGACGGAGCCAAAACGTGGAGATCCCATAAAGGAGTATATCTCAGAGTATAATCAGTGAGGAGAGAAAATTTACCATAAAGCATGTGTTGGAGATGCTGTGGAAAAACATGACGACACTTTTAGTGGTGTTTTATTCCTCAACCTTGAGACAGTTATTAGTCACATTTATTGAATTGTCAACAGTCAGTCATGACAGACAGAAAATGCTGAAACTTTGCGCATTTTTTGCGCCCCCTTCGCGCGCCCGACTATTCATCGCTGAGTTGAGGGGAATAAAGAGAAAATAGAGAAGAAGGAGAAAAGAATCACACACGAAAAATTGCAGACGCCAGACGTCTCGATAATTTATACATTGATAATGTATTAAATGCTGAAAACTTGCCCTCTCTTCAATTCCGGATGGAAACAGATACGCGACCGCGCGGCTGTCGAGTGACTAATTGGCAGCCACTGCAGAATGCTCTTGACGGCGTCTTTTCCCGGAAAAAAAGAATAATAACTGCATGTCACCCACTGGATCGGGTTAACCCATCAGCGCCCACGCGCGGCGCCCAAAATGAGCCTCGGCCAGACGGCAAATGGGCCCCAATTTACGATCAATACTCATCAGTTTATCTCGCAAATGCACATGAAGCCACATTTGGCAAATCAATTTGCAATATTTATGCCCTCTCCATTGCAATGCATTCGTGATGGTGAGTCGTAAAGACAAGAAATGACAGTCCGCGAAGATTCTGCGGAATATAATACAGAAAATATGCTAATTTATGCGCACTCTTGACGCGCTCTACCATGTGAAGGGGTTAAAATTTGCTGCTGTAACACTTTTGCCAGGACGTCCTTGCTAATGCATTATCTATCCAAACATTCTAAATTGTGTCTCGCATTCATTATTCATACACACTCACAATTAGAGTCAACTTTTGTGTGATATTCCTATTTAGATAACACAGTCAAACAACGTTTGACCGCAAAATCGCAACAGCCGAATTCCATGAATGAAATCATTATTATGAAGGTGACTGTTGAGACAATGCCTGAAAAACAGCTGATGAAATTCTGCAGTTTTAGGAGGTGTTCTTTGGGAAGAGTAAGGATCAACATAATAGACGATGCAATTTTTGAATTCTTATTGAATTTCGATAAACTTGGAAGCAATTTGCTTAGTAATCAGAAGCTTTTCAATTCTTAAAGTTGAATTTATCACTGGCGAAACAGTTCAGACAATGTTTATAAAATGTAATTATGTTTTGATCGGCTTCCTATAATATCAACAAATATGCTCTCTTAACGACCACAAAGGCACGAGCCTTATCTCAACTTCTTCGATATGTCATTTGGTGAAATAGGTCAAAAGTGCTGGAATGCACAAATGTTTGGCAAAACAAGTCCAGTGCGCACGTTTCAACATTTATAACCAATTGAGCTTTTTTTGTAAACAATTCTTTGCGCGATCTCGCGAGACTGCAAATCGCACTTTCCGCGCTTGTTTTCGCACGGAAAACACTCTTGTGCCAGACTAAACAGCACATGGAGAGCACACATTTGGAGGCGTTTGGCGGGAAATTCGTGCCATTTTCCTGGCCTCTTGACGGCGTTTTTTTTTTCTCGCGCTGCTCTCATGGCGGCCTGAAGGCCACCTTGGCGAGACACAACACAAAAGAATGACGCGATGTCTGGCCAGTTTGGCAGTTGCGGGCGTGAATTTTTCACAAAATAGCGGGTACAATTGAAAAAGGAAATATTTACACTAAATTTGCATAACAGCCATAAGTTTTCAGTCTTCGCTGGGGAGAATTTGCACAGTCACAGGCCAGCTTTTGGGTAGATTTTTCCCCGCAAAAAACCCAAAACAGTCGCGCTAAATTTAGCCCGAAAGATGATATTCAATTTTCACGCTATTTTTGGTCCTCAACTCGCGCGTCTTCCGCCGTCGCGGTCTTCTTATTGGAAAAGTGTAGACTTAACACTTCGCTGTAAGCCAGATAAGGCGAGGGTGGCATGCATTGAATCCGTGCCGCGACGTGGCGTGTGCTTTCTGTACTATGACAAAACTGGAGGAAAGCGCGTGGAAAAATGCACATTTCAAATTAATCGCACAGAGTCTCGTCGATTAACCTTGACACGTGGATATCATGAATCAGTCGCTTTTACCGATTCACCCATTTTCCATCTCATTCGCCGTCAAATAGCATGCTAATCACTTTTAAAGCCACACAAAGTGCGGCGATTTGCAAATTTTTTCTCAGTGATTGTCATCGTTTTCGCAAATATTGACACACTTTTTATGTGCTCGACAGGAAATTCAAATATAGTCAAAGAGTTTCAACAAAAACAAGTCTAAATTTCCTCTTGACACTCGCAAATTCGTGCAATACTACACTAGGAATGTGGAATTTCTGTTTCAGGTTAACCCTTCGAGACCGAACACATTCAAGACATATTTTTAGAAAAAGACTTTTCTATTTTTTAAGAAGCTTTGAAAAAAAAAGAACTTTAAACGTGCTTGATATGTTGATGACTGAATCATATGTTATATTTTTTAACAATCATTATTTGAAGGCACTATTTTTTTCGTAATGTATTGTGCTACTCAAACTTTTTATTTAACCGGAAGCTTTTTATTCAACGTATGATAAATATCTTATAAGTTTGATTTATTTTCAGTTCTCTGGAAATTCCCATAAAAATCACCAAATGTGTACAAATTTCCCGTCATAAATCTGCAGTAATTCCAGGAAAATTCATCACCTTTGAATGCTTTCGCACGTGATCAGAATGTATTTTATGGACGCTATATAATCCATTTGGCTCAAAAGGATTGAGCCTCGGAAATTTAAAGGCTTGGGATACTAAGATCTGAGCCTAAAAGTGTAAGACAAAGGCCTCTTAGCCTACAATCCTTCTCGAAGGCGCTGGGAAAAAGTGTCACGAGAGCAAATAGTGAGACTCTCGCTAGACACAAAAGCCCGATAAGAAGTGTACTTATCTCGACAAATTCCTAGACGCGTCTTGAGCCGCGTGACTCGGCAGACACTTTAGACACGATCAATGAGGGGGAAACTCTTTTCAATGTCAAACACTCAATTACGGAGCAGACACACGAATTACGCAATGACGTCTCGAGAGCTTTCAGTGGCTTTTTATCGGCCAACTTACGGGTAAGTTTCAGTGGACTTGCCGTGCTCTTTTTCTCATGCTGTGCGGTTGAGAAAAGAAGGGAGCAGCAAAAAAAAACTGTTCATTGAGTGGGTGAGAGAGTCTTTTGTGACGAAACAACCGAAATTCGCTGATAAGGCTTGTTTTCGTGGGAGACTTGATAAGGAATTTGTGGTGAAATTGAGTGGCAAATATTTGATGGAAAATATAAAATCAGTTTTCGGGAATGTGTGCAGCACACTTTGGGCACATCTCCAATGGCAATTGCACGCCAAGCAATTATGCAATGCTGGCAATGAAAATACAGCAGCACACCGCTAGTAATACGCTCAATTTCCGTCAATTGCTGACTGAAGCGACGAGGGTGAACAATTGGAGGGTCGGCGTGGTTGATTTTTCGCATTTCGTGTGTGCCTCATTAAATATGCACCTTCGCGTCACTCCTGGCCACGTTTGAATGACGATGACCAAATGCAAGACTGGCCCTCCGCCTCGGCGTGACTCAAGATCGCGACATTGCAACAATAAAAATAAATTTTTCGGCCCATTTGCCATCTCGAGTGCGAGAGATGTCCGTGATTTGCATATCTTGTGAGCTGCATTTGCATTCAGGCGGGAATTTTATTTATACCCCTCACCACTATAAATATACTTTATATTATTACCTTTATTGTTTGCAATCAGCCCCTCTTTTCCCTCCAATCAAACTGCAAAAATTTTACGATGTCATTCCCAAGACGGACCCGCGCTATCTCTCCTGCGGAGGCAAAGTCGAAAGGGTGTATAATTGATGGAATGGAGACACAAAGTCCATTTGCGGGAAGTCAGATGACAAAGTCAGACGGTCAAAAAGGAGCAAGACAGCAACTCTTTGTTCATGACAGTGCCGAGAATTTTTGGCAGGTCAATATAAACAATAATTTAACACCACTTCGCAAAAATGATTTCAGCTATAAAATGACGATGCAGTCGCGAACAATAGCGCGTCACTGTTTAATTATATGCTTTAAAAGGAGACCAAATTGATGATAGACATACTACATTATTCCGCGAAGACGCCAATAACAAAATTAAATAATTTTAATTTTGCAAATATTCTGATAATCTTTTCTCGCTTCACTATGATTTGAATTAACAATATCTATGTGCTCTTTGATTAGAATTAGTTCCTCATCAGCTTTTCATAAACAAAAAGTAATATTTTGAAATATTAGGCAATTTAACAATTTGGCCGAAGGGATTGATGTTGGTCAACTCTTCAGACTGCTCCAAGACACCGTAATTGTGTAATCAGGTAAACACATACGAGCGAGATTTTCTGCCCTGCAAAATTCGCAGACAATGCCACTCTCTGGGGCAGAAAGTGTTGCTAGACTTACCAGTGTTAGCGGCGCGCTGCTCGCGGAGCGTGGCTTCTTGGGTCGCAAGATGGCGCGTGGCGTTGGCCGGCGCCTCGGCAATACTGCTACAGTTCGTGGCACAGTTTGTCCGGTCGCCTGGGGCGTGTGGCTCCTGCGGGGGTGGCCATGGCGGGGCGGGGGCGTGCGTCCGGCCGGCCGGCTGGTGGCTCTCGTGTGGCACCGCGAGGGGGCTCGCCGACAGCGTGGGGATCGTCAGGAGCATACATAGGAGCGCTAGGGCTGCGCGGGCCCCCGCGGCGCCTCTGGCTGCATGCGTGGGGGCCACTGCGCCTACCTACAGTGCACGTAGCGTGCTCACCGGCTCGGAGGGCCGCGCCCCGACCGCCAGAACAGCGCCATGCCCCACACGCAATGCCCGGCCCACGGCACGGGCTCCAGGCGAAACACTCTCACAAGCACACTCACTCACTCACGCACGAGTCACTGGGCACGCGTGATCAGCGCCTCGTCCTGCAATGAGATAGAAAGAAACAGTCACGCATCAGTTTCAATATCAAGCCTCAGAGCGATCGCGATGCTTTGGTGCGTTCAAGACGAGGGCATTCGAGCCGGGACTAAAGTGAGACGCAACTGAGAGACTAGATCACCGTCGCGACGACTCATTCTGCATCGTGTCACCAAAACAATACACGAGACAACGACGACGTGTCTCCGATTGTCACGAGCACCTCCCCAGAGGGTATTCATTCAAGAGTCCTGATCCTTCGAGCTGCTTTTAATTTGAAACACACGCTGAAATAATGCATTTCCGCATAGCAATTTATCTCGTAAGACTGAAAGCAACTGATATCAATCAATCTCTCAATCGCTCTTTGATCAATTCTGAGTCACACTCCTCGAAGTGATCTTCCGCGTTGAGTGTGTCTCTGATTTCGGAAGGGATGCCCAGCTCGTGAGTCACGTAACAATGCATGCACGAGATAATCGCTTTGTTTACGCTGCCGCTGATGGTGCAAATTGCCACATTCTGACTGATGGCAATGGAGCAAATGTATCGTGTTGGGTGCATCTGTCGCGGAATTTGTCGCGGTGGAGCCGGAGGGGCATCGATATCATCTCGCTTGGATTTGCCTCATGCGTGAGCGGCCCTTCTCTCGGCTGTTGTGCGTCGCGGTGGCAAAATAGAAGGCCCTCATGACTATATAGGATTCTATATATATTCCGCGTGTGCCGCTGTTTGTTTGTCACACATCATCATCATCATCGCCGAGTCGCGCTCCACGGCGATCGCCCGTCTCACTCGCCCTCTCAGCTATAGTTAGACCGCCGACATTCGCCACTCTTTTCCAACTTAAAATATTCATACAAAAATGTAGCAACATGACCCGAGTCCAAGACATACTCGTGAACAAACAAAAGTTGCGTGAGAGACACTGCGAGAATATTTCTGCACGATGATCTCGAGTTGCCAAGGGGTGCGTCATAGTGAGGGAATATTGCTTATGAGTGCGAACAAGTTACAATGACAGAAAAGAAGTTTCCTGTGAAGCAGATAACACAAAATACGATCAACTGAAGCTATTTTGTCGGTTGACGAACTTGGGCATGAGAATTAATGGGAATTTTCAATTGATAATTCACACACACAAAGTGTCTCTATGAGGCCTCAATAACATGCGAGGGGCAAACATAGGATTTTTAGATCGCCGATCAGCAGAGATCACGATCATGTCATACTCCGAGTCGCGCGATCGTGCTCTTTATCATCGCACACGCGATCGCGAGACATCTAAATAGTAAGCAAAATTGGTGTTGTTTTGTGAATGAATGTCGAGCGGAGATGATCATTGAGAGTCAGAATTGAGTCGTCGCTTTTTTGCACACATACAACCTTTCGTCCTACGCCTCTGGACGGACGGATTGATCGATCAGGACAACAAATTGTGACATTATCATCACTGCAATCGGTGGAGACAGAGAGAGTATCTTCGGCTCAGGAGTCGCGATCGTACACAAATAAATCACGCCTTGCGTATGTGCGATATGCGCTCAGAAGTAACTCCCAGATATAAAATCGAAGCGCAAAAATAGACCCACGAGATGCTAACCTATAAACGCGCGATTGTTTTCCTCGCAAGATGAACAGAGAGCATTTTCCGAGGGGAGCAGAAGGGAAAAATTTCCACCATCACGCACATTCTCAGTGGCTGGAGGATTCCCAGTGAAACCCGCGCGAGATGATCTCCATGGCAGTTGACACAGGAAAGCGTGCGCATGAGACATTCTCGTGGAGCATCTCACCACACATTTGCCTGTCAGCTAAGAATATAATAAATACAAACACACGAGTGAGAAGGCACGTCAAAGAGAGTGAGAGGCTATTTTTGCCGAGGAAAAACCTTTATATAAATATGTGTTGCCATCCATCTTTGAGCCAATCCCGCGAAACCAAATAAATTATCAACTCTTGTGCCGTTGGGTGCATCCATTATGTCGTGGCAAAAGAGATGCCCGTGGATTAAAACATGAGGAGCAAATTGTTGGGGACATGGTGGTTCTCTTTGCCTCGCCAACAGACATTGTTGTGTGTGCATTTCAATAATTCTACCATCTAATTAGATATGCTCCCTTCCCTTGAACATGTGACTCTGGAAGTGAAATATTGCACAGAAATTGATGTTTGTGTTCAAAAGTGTCTATTTTCATGACATAGAACGACACACAATGCACCTATCTCGTGATCTTCGAGTCATTTTACTGCCTCTCCACGTATTAGAGATGATCAATTTGGAGAAAGCTTCCGATGTATTGAGATATCATTACTGCACTCACTAAAGTGCACAGCATTCTTGCAGTTATATATTAAATGGTACTGTTGAACTTTATTACCATTTCAGACTAAAATATAGCTTTTGTGGTTAAAGTCTAGCAGCGTGATTTATGCTTCATAAATCATCTCAAAGAAAGCCAGATTTGGGAACAACGATTGAAGGACGTGGCTTTCTTGAAATTCCTATGTTAACTGAGTGTCCAGTGTCACGAAGAAGATAAAGTGGTGATCTTTGTGATATGCAGCGCGGTTTTCTCCTAAATGTGTGTTGAATAGAGACGCCAGATAGGATACACCCCATGATGAATGGGGATTGGTCGTCTGAGGCCCGAAAATCAAGGGTCAGTGCTTGACCTCTTCACACCCGTCAAAATAGCGATCCACCGTGACAGAATCAGGTGTTACTCCGCAGAGAGGCTGACGTGCCGCCGTCCCGAGCGCGCCGCGACGAATGGGAGCGGCCGAGAACGCGCACAAGGAAGAGAGCATGATGAAAATATTCATTCCGCCGTTCTTTGGTGTCGAATTGTACAAAAACAGAGAGCTACAATTTTACATAAATACTACCATAGGGAGTGCAATGACCTCAAGGTCGCTCGCCGAGCATTCCTAATAATTGTGATGGTGTCGCGGGTACGGGAGGGCGAATATGGGTTGGCAGATCGATATATCGGTTACTTACATTTCCTCCTGGGCACGTGCTCGGGTCCGGATACTTCCGCGTTTCGCACACACACACACGCACACTCACTGTAAGGCTGGTCAGATTCTGCACAGCACTCTTTCACTAATTTTAACCGGACTGGGCGACACTTTGAGGTTATGGCAGCCCCGCTATTCACCCTCGCCGGCGGCTGAGGGGGTACGGGAGAGGAACAGTCCGGCGGCACGACTAGACGGAGCGCGGAGGCTTCAATTACACCGCGAGTGCGAAGAGCGCGACACCGCAGCACTGGCTGTCAAGTCACTGCTGTCACAGAGCCCTCGTGGGGTCCACCAAGGGGGCTTCGCAGTCTCCCAAACCGTCCAATTTCCCAGCTCACTCGGGACACACACACGCGTTACGCAAGCCGAGTCGGAAAATTGGCCATAGCCCGAGTGTTAGTGAGCGAGAGGTGGGCTCGCGTCAGCGCATTTGGGGCCGCATGGCCGGATGGTGGGCGTGCGAAAGAGATCACCAGCTGCCCGCGAGGCCCGCCATCTTTGAGACGCACCGCAGCCGCGTGTGTCTTTTTTACGTGCACGCGAGCGCCTGCGGTTTGAGTATCGGATGGGCGGCCGCGAGATTCGGCCGGGGTCTTCGTCAGGGCAGTTCCGCGAATTTCCACTGGAATTTCAGGAAGTCTTTTTGCATTCTCAAAGTGAATTTTATTTATACATCATCCAATATTTGCATCAGGACATTCAGAGCAGCCTCAAGATGCGCTTTAATAAAATGAGCTGATTTCTTTCAAGTGTTTGTTTTCAGTACGCTTACATTTAAAAAAAATCAACAATACGTAAATGTACTCGTGAAAGATTCTTGTCAATTTGGATGAGTCACATTCTTCGCAAACACGTCTTTGTAGAATTAAAATTTCATCCTATCTAATATTAAAGGGATTTCTAGATATTATGAATAAAATTAAATGTGGAATAATTGAGCTAAAGCTCAGATATTTAAATCCGTATAACTTTGGCTCTAGGGTTAAAATCATTAATGAAAAATACGTGCATTCGAAAAGCATGGACATCCAGTAATGATCTTTTGCAGAGAAATTCTAAGTGAAATCTTTCACGTGTGCCAAAGTCTGAGCAAGAAGGAGGAAGTGATGGCAATCTGAGGCAAACATGGGCGCAATTTGTATTTGCTGACTCTGGGATTTGATGCTCGCGCAGAGATAATGGGCCACGCTGAGTCCCTTTGGTCGTGCCTGGCGATCATCTCATGCGGGGTTTTTCGCGGACAGGGCGATCGACCTGACCCAGAGGCATCATTAGCGGTGCGGCGGTGCATCGGGAATGGGCATCGATCCACTGATTGACAGTGTGACGGAAGGGCATTGCAATAGCGAACTCCCCGGAGTGAATAATTCATGCACTTCTCTTGCACTCCTCTTTCTGTGCATCAGCCTTCTTCCCGGAGAGCGAACAAGTGTGCGCTCGGGGTCGCTGCACGGTGCTGACCCGACCTGGCTGGCCATTGCTCCAGGACCGCGGCCGCGACGTCGAGGGCAACGTCTTCTGTGTGCTCCAGGACGCCGCGTTTCAGCGCCCGGAGAGCTCAACACTGCACTTTTAATTAACGTCCACTCTCTCGCGACTCCGGATGGAGTTGCAAATGCAAGAGCGCACACCAATGGAGCACTGCAATTGCAGTGATATCGATTTTAGGTCTCGTTTTAGGTGGCAATGGGAAAATGCAAATTTTAAAATCACTTCTTTTATTTGGT